TTACGTTGCCCAGGGTGCACCACGTGGAGGTAAATCTATCCCACACCCCAAACGTTAATTATTATAAATATCAGGCATTTGTCAAATCGTGCTAAGTATCGCTGTGGTTTTTTTTGAATTGCTTAAATTTGTTTAACTCAATGCTCACATTGACCTCGAAGGTTCGTAGCCAATCTTGAAGGCCATTTTGCCTTAAGTAGTTCTATTAGTCCGAAAGTAGTTGCTGCACCCTCAATTTCTCCACTTATTTGGCTTCCATTGCTTTCATTTAATTTATTACTTTTTTGTGGTTTCACCTCAAAAAATTGGTGAGCAATGGAGTTATATGAATTTCATTTTACAAAGCACCATTTTACCGGATTAAAATCGCTATTCTCAGTTTCTCTGGTTGAAAGTGTAGTCGCTCGTATGACTCATGTAATTGTGTTGGAGCCCTTTTGTATCCCTCTATGTCTTAGTTTCCCCAATTTTGATCCTGCTACCAAAGCAGGCCTCAGCGTTTATGTAGACGTGGTCAATCTGGCTGGTAAAGTGCAGACATGTACCATATGAATCTACCCCACTTTATTGAAATAAGCCGAGTTCATACCACCAGTCGACCGGCTTCGGGAGGAAACTAGGGTGTGACCGCTATTTTTACTTTATTTTCGTCTTGACGCTAGATTCAATATCTGCTAATTATGTTTGACACTGACTTTATCCAAGTTGGTAATTAGACATTAACTGAAATGGTCTGCTTATATGTCTAACATGCTCGTTAAAAGTAACCTTATTTTATCGATTTCAATTTCAAGCCGTTACTTAAGTTGAAATTTCTAGAATGTTATTGTGTTTAAATGCGTATTTGCGCATTCTCTTTTGTAATTTCTGGATTAAACCTTCAGTCAAAATTATAGCATTTGCTTCCATTGGTGCAATTTAGAAAAACAAATATCGGTTGACTGCACGGGTGTCAATAGCTAATATATCCGGCTTTCGTTCGTTTTTTTTTCTGAAAAAGAAAGATCAGGAAACAGACCCTGGTGTCGAGTTAACTTGCACGATATTTTTTTATCCTGTTTTGATTTTAGCTATTTAAACTTGTGTTTATTTTAGTCCCTTGTTTGAACTAATTATTGGGATATAATAATTGCCACATGCAAATTTTTTTTCCTTAGTTTTCATAAGTCCAGGGATGAAAAATTTATCTATTTATTTCGAATGGCAAGCGTTTTGATAGTTATAATTAGCACAATGACTAACTTCGGGGCTTCACGGAGAAAAGGAGGATAAACATCAAAGTGACAAAAAAGCGTGAGGGGGGGGGGGTCAGAATAATGATCCACAGATGTAAAAGAGACAGAGAGACACAAAGGCAGACAAAAGGTGAGATGAGTACTGTGGAAGGGGTCGAATATGACAAACAGTCGGGTCATGATAGTTTTTAGTCAGAAGTCAACTGCCGATTAATGGACTTTTTTGATGTATGAGTATACGTTGCCCAGGGAGCACCAGGTAGAGGTAAGTCCATTGCGCACCCCAGTTCAGTGTAGAAAAATGAACTGGCTATTACTGATTTATAGAAGTACGGTCAATTGAAAGGTACAGCAGCTAGATTTCAGTAAATTTGCAATCAAAGATTCCATAGGATTGTTAGGACACTTGCATCTTCATTATGTTTTATATTTTGGACTGATAAAATATTCCGCCTCTGTAGGTCCAGTAAATTTATCTATTTACCTATTTTCATAAGATTGAGCAACATAATTTCTGCTGTCCCGGCTCCATTGGTAACGATTCTGCCTACCTTTTCTTGCAAGAGGGACTCGTAGCCACTATTGTAAGTTGTTAATCCTTGCCATTTTAATGGAACATCTTGATTTGCGCCAATTTACTTATCGCTCCTTTTTTCTTTTTAGTCATCAGACAGGTTTACCGTCAATTATTCTCAGAACCTAATTCTTGAGGGCCAACCAGAAGCAACTTCCATGTCTCCCCGCAGACAGGCCCCCACTCGTCAAACCAGTATGGGAGACGATATTTCTGCTGCTGCTGCTGCTGCAATCCTTGATCATCCTCTTCATGGTCACATCAGTCCTCACCTTCATCGTCAAGGTCCCCCTGTACTTGCTTCTCAGGTCATCGAGGCTGCAATTGACCTTTTCGGTTTAGTCTTCCCCTTTGTCTCTACTCGACACCGCATCCAAATGCTGGAACACTTCACTGAATGCATTCGCGTCTCTAAAGCTGCTAGGCAGGAGGCCATCCAGGTTAACATCTTCGCGGCACTTCTTTGTGCTTTGCGACATCTTTCTGAGACGAAATATGCCTTTGGAGATGATAAAACTATGCGTTCAATTGCAATTACTCTCACATCGGTAAGCATATCTCCCTTTCCTTAGCAGCACAACCGCTTATCACGTATAAGCAAACTTGGTTATTTGTGTTTAGGGGGTTTTATCAAGTTCAAACCCAGTGCTGCGTTTTGCAGCGGCGGAATGCATAGGACGCCTCGTGCAAGTGGTCGGTGAAGCGTCATTTCTATCGGAAATTGCTCAGACTTCATTCGATCAATTGAGGTGTCTTAGAGATTGCCAGCCTCGAGCAGCTGGTCTCTGTGCTGCTATTGGATGCTTGCATCGATTTGTTGGAGGTCTGGCATGTGGACAGCATCTTAATACGAGTGTCTCTGTTCTCTTGGCCGTCGCACAAGATTCTAGTGCCCCCACGGTGCAGGTTGGCTTTTGTTAATTGTCTTTCCTTTTGATTCCTTCTGGTTACTCAGAATGACGATCCCCCTTCTAATTCCAGGCCTGGGCTTTGAACGCATTGGCATTGACCGCAGAATCCGGCGGGCCAATGTTCAGAGAATTCGTTCAACCCAGTCTCAATCTGGTTCTTCGTCTACTCCTCAAAACGCCTTTCACTGTGACTGATATTCACTTCAGCTTGGCCAATCTCCTTGGCGCTCTTATAACTACTCTGGGACCTGAATTGCAATGTGAGCAATACAACTTTTTTTGCATGCTCTATCATCTTGCTCGATAATTATTTGTGATGGAGAAATTTTAATTTTGCTGGAATATTTGTGTATGAGATCACCATCAGAGGTCAACCTTGAGTGGTTTAGTTTATCTCCCTTCTGGCGTGGTGAAGTGTTCTAAACATTTACCACAAGGAGACTGGCATGCAGTTCCGCCTATCTTTCAGTAATCAAGTGAATTACCATGAGCTGATACTGCTCTTCACTCCTTGAATATAGTAAAGAAACACTTTGTTTTCATTGTCCAGCTTCGAGTGGAGGGGTCAAATCAGATACAGGTATCTCTTGTCTTCTTTGTTGTTCCATTCTCCTGGAGCACCCGGATCCCCATCTTCAGGCTGAAGGCATCACCAACTTCCAAAGAATTCATGTCTTCGCTCCACATCTACTCAACTTGTCTCTCTTCGCACCCATTCTTTCGGTTAGTTAACGTCTTCTAGAACCTTTCCTATTCGCCTTACTACTTTTAATGATCACATAATTTTAATTTAATCAGTAACTCTGAAGCAATAGTGGAGTGCCGAATACTCGTGACTTTATTTTCGTACTGATGTTATTTTGTTTGTCAGACTTCAATGACCAGCAACTGCTTTGCACTTCGTCGAGCATCGATAGCTTGCATTCGTCAGATCAGCCAAAAGGATGCCGATAATCTCTGTGAAGTAATGGCAGCCGTTGCTATGGCGACGGAGTTAGCAAAGTCACCACCTTCAGCACGTACTTCCACATCTGGTTTTATCGGTTCTTTACCTGGTGTAGAACCCGGAGGTTCACATCCGTCGGTTGGTGTACCTGGTCTTGCCAATTCCGAGTCATGTCCACCTCTTGAAGCTGTTCTTTTCAGTCTACTTGATGTAGAAGTAGATTCGAAGTTACGAGGCCATTTGGAAGAAGCCATTTCAAGTCTACTTCAAGCCAGAGGGCTCAGTCATTTCCAACAGTGGATGAGAAGCTTAAAACAACTTCTTCAGGTATGTTTACCATTTATTTGTCGGACGTTTTTTAATCGATCAAATGGATTATTATTACTACTTTTGTTATTTCTTTTGACGATAGAAGTCGCCGAAAAGAAGGAAGTATAAAAGGAATTTAATTGGCATTTCTAAGTTTAATCGCTCGCCGTATATTTACCAATTCGTTTTAAAAGCCGCCTAATCAGACGTGATGCAGGGCTGTTTTGGAGTACTTTGTAGCCGTGTATGAGTAAAGCTTCCCCTTGCAAACTGATGTATTCAGAATACAGTCCCGTTAGCCTTAAACTCGGAGTAGATAATGACCTGTTTTAAAGTCACTTCACCATCAGTTTCCATGTTCTAAACCTCAGAAGTTGCCAAAAGTATAGTTGATTTGTGGTTTCGGAATTCGCGTATCATAAATAACCGATCTGGATTAAGGTCAGTGAATGGATCCAGTTTAATGACTGAATTAAATGCCAACTATTGCTTATAAATACCTCTCTGTTTCCGCTTTTCAATGTTTTTTACCTCATATTCCCTAGCAATCAGCAACAGCCAGTGGGACTCGTGGTTTGACGGATAGATCCCATGCTTCTAAAGCATCCAATGATTCGACGAAAAATCCGGAGGGAGATGGATGCAAAGACGAAGACGGTGATGAAGATGATGACGACGACGAACAAACCTTTGGTGGGATTTCTGAATCGCAAGGAGGCGTTAGACGTCCGGGTGCTTCGGAGACCGTCCTAAACCTTCCTCCGAGGTAATGAGTTTTCGAAATGTCTTCGATTGCTGAATATTCTCCAAAATAGGTCAGGTTCTCATTTACCGCATTGGTATCTTTTAGATGGCCCACTCGTATTCTTGCTATTGCGTGTCTTCGACGACTTATGAGTCTATGCCAACAAGCTGCTGACTTCTCGAACTCTGGGAATGCAAACACGACACCCGAAATTGGACTCCGAAGTCCTCAAATCTCACGAGGTGGCCTATCACTTCGCGTCCCAGATCAAACGAATCAACAACGGGCTCATTTTGATCTCGCTCTGGCTGGAAAATTGCGTCAGGGTCTCACTGATGTACCTTGGCTCGTTCTTCATCTTGGTGATCTTGTTCGAGTGACTTTCATCGCTGCCACCTCTAACTCTGATCACCTTCGTAGATTCGGTCTCTTTGCACTCAAGCAGGTGATTCAGCTATTCGCAACTGTGAGTGATCCTGAGTCTGCTGGTAATTATATTCTGGAACAATTTCAAGCTCAGATATCTGCTGCACTCCGTCCTGCATTTAGTACCACTTCTACTTTTACCAATGCTGCACCTCTGCCTGATATTACAGCTGCAGCTTGTGAGGTATGTGCTTGTTGGTTGACCTCTGGCGTGACCCAAGATGCTGCTGACTTTAGGAGAGTTCATGAACTCCTTACTGCTTCCCTTGAAATTCTTCGTGACATTTCCATAGCCACATCTTCTACCTCGACTAATCTCTTTTCTGAGGCCTGTGTTACTCGACTCAAATTGGCTGTTCTCACCGCATGGGCAGAGGTCTTTATTGCAGCTTCTAGATATCGAGAAACTGCTTTACAAAGTCTTCAGCTCCTGTCAATGCTTGAAAGTCATGCAGGAGAGAGCACTTCAAGCAGTCCTGATGGGTTAAGTGATATAGTTCAACGGCAACTTCTTCTAATGCTTGGTGGAGGTATTAGTTGTGGCATCAATAGTGGAAGCTGGGGTCAACCTTCAATCAAGGACTCATCGAAGCTTCTTGAATCTCTGGAACAAGAATTTGATGAAGACGATGATTTTTCAGGCGACGACAATCTAGATGAGTTATGCGATGAAGATACGTCTGAAGATAGCAATATTAATGGAGAGGGTAAGTGTGTATTTTCATTAAATATATGTTCAAAATCCTCCATTTAATCGATCAATTTTTTTGTTATTCCAGTTAGGCGGAAGATTTTCATTCGAAAAACACGACATGCTGTAAAGGAGGCCCGCAAGTCTTACCAACTTCTTTCACGTCTCATTGGTCCAGATCTTGTTGAATTAGCTTCTGATTGGTTGGCGGCTTTGAGAGATTATGCGCTAATTAATCTGCCTGATGAGTTGGCATTTCAACGTCCGACTACAGCTGGTGCTTTCTATGATTCTCAAACTGGAATCGAAGCTGTGAGACCATTCTACGCCAGGTCCTGGCTCCCTCTTTTGGAAGCTGCTACACTCTGTTTGAATACTGAAGCCAAGGATTCCACTGAATCGACTTCTTATTTTTCCGGTGAAGCAACAGAAAAGCATATGGTTATTCCGATGACTCGGGATTCTTTCTTCCTGATTTTCGGTAAGTGTTGGTGTTATTGAAGCCGTTATCAACCGGCGTAGGCCATATTCCACTCCTCCAATCCTTTCTATGCGGTTTGCATAAATTTCAATATTAAAATTAGAATAAGTTTTCATTTTGCTGTAGGTATTACTTTAGAGGCTATATCAGATGTTATTTCAAAGCCGCCGTCTTTTGTGGTTGCCAAGTGCTTGCGAATAATTGAATTGCTTCTCATGAACCCCGCCTCGAAAACGCATATCTTCTCGTCCACTCCACGTCTACCTGTGGAACTTCTCTCTGTATTGCATCGAATATTCCTCACACGAGACTCGATATCTCTTCATCTCGGTTGTCTTCGAGTTTTGCATCTTCTTTTATCAGCTGCCGCTGATAGATTAAAAACCGCTATTGCTGGTATGCTTAGATTTGTTTGAAGTGATTTGTAGTTTTGATTCGCTATTCCCATTGGTTTATTTCTTAAGTTTGGGCACATTTTAGTATTCAAATTAGCAGGTGCTTCGCTATCACAGGGAGATTCGGGATAATTAGGCGTCTAGTTTTTCAAAATATCTTTTAAATAATCTCGTACTGAACCTTTTGTCAGCGTTGGAATTTGTATTCTGATAGGTGGAGTTTCAACCAACGAAAAATGGGTACTATAAATCCTTCTTGATCGTCTGCAACTGAGAGGGATTTTCCTTCGATAATATCAGAACATTGCCTTCTTTTAAACTAATTTTCGCTTACTTTAAACTCCTCTGTATTGGGCAAGAATTGACGTTGTTATCCGTTTAAGTTATGGGAGCCTGGTCAAATTCTAGACTTCCTCGCCGTCTTAATTGATCGGTCTTAGCTATGACTTTGTGTAAATGTTTTTATTTACTTCTACTTACTGTCTAATTATCCTAAATAAGTTGTACGGCTAAAGGATGGTATAAATTTACAGCAATCAATTTTTTGCCGAATTCGCCAAAGGAATTCACCAACCTACCTATACATGTGCCATAGTTCCGTGAGCGCATAATCCCAAGATCAGCCATCTCATTATTATTATTAAAGAGTACCTTAGGTCCGTCGTTACCAGACACCTTTATTGCTATCGTGGTAGGCTCTCATTGAGGATTAGCTTTAGTTCAAATTTTATTAGCCTTCCTTTTACTTTGATTACTCATCTTGCAATTTTCCAATTGATCGAAGTCTTGCGGATTTTGCTAATTGTATGGCATTTCCTTCTTCATTAGCTGATCTCAATCCCTCTGGAAATGAGGCCACTACCACTGAGACAGAGGCAACCTCCGTATGGCTTGAAACTGGTCAAAGTTTGGATGAGCTTCTCTCCATTGTCATTTGCCCCATGGCAACGGATATGGAAGCTGTTATGCGAGCACTCGAACTTGCGGACGGTGGATCTAGGTCCTGTTTCAACGAAACTCCTGAAGCAGCCTCCCAGTTCACTCTTACAACCCTTCAGGTTATCGTTTGTCTTCTCGCACGTTACCATCCTTCTGTTCTCCAATTGCCCATAGCTCAGTCAGTTCCTACTCAAAGAGGTCTGTTTCATCGGCAAAAGTGAAAAGTATTTTCTAGTCCTGAATTATTAGTACTATATAAGCTTTCTTCCTTTTATTTAGCTCTTCCTTCCTTCCCTAAGTCAGTGGCTGCACGGCATAAAAAGGCACCAGTTATATTGGCCAGTGCAATTCATGCACTCACTGCTCTAATGAAAATCGCTTCCCCCGAAATTCTCTCCACCAATCCGGAAAGGCCTCTCTCTGGGGTTCTGCCTGTGATGTGTCGACTTGTCTCACGAATAGCTCAGGTTCGTAAAGCACTGAATTAGACTGTATTCAGTTCTAAATAGTACATTAATATGTGTACATTGACGATATTTTTACGACCTTGAAGCGAAGGACAATATGTAATTGGTACTGCTATTTTAAATTATCCCTCCATACACTTATCGCTTCTTCCAGCTGGAGCTCTTACAACCAACTTCCTCGTCGAAGTCCAAAATAGCTCCTTTAGAAGAGAATTATAAGGCACCAGATAATGCAAGTCTTGGATCCACTTCGACAACTTCGACAGTCACAGGGAAATCGCCTTTTGGACCTCTAGATCTTGGATCCATCTCAGCAGGCGCTTTCAAAACTTCTACCTCTGCTGAAACCGCCATTACCTCTACCACTCCCGGTAAGGCATTTCTTATGAACATTAATTATCCTTTTTTGACCCATAGATGCTTTTAGCTAAATATGATTAATTTCTCGGCTATTTATAAAGTATTTAGCATATATTCACTATTTTTTTAATCGTAAACAATAATCTGGTCCATTGTCATTTTGCTCGTTGGCAATAATTTACTGAAAAACAACGCTGATTTCAAATCTTCGGCGCTATTTTTTGCATTTAACGGCGTTAAACCGTAATGGTATTTCTAGCCACAACCGTATAACAAAAATTTATATCTCTAAACGTGGAGTGGGTGATAGACTTACCTCCGCGTGGTGCACCCTGGGCAACGTATACTCATACGCCAAGAAAGTCTATAAACCGGCAGTCGACTTCTGACTTCAAACTACCATGACCCCATTGTATGTCTTATTCGATCATTTCCACCATACTTATCCTACTTTTTCTCCGCTTTTGTGTCTGTCTGTCTCTTTTACATCTTTGAATCACTCCTCTGTCCTCCCTCTCCACTTTTTCTCACTTTGATATTCCTCCTTCCCTCTATGAAGCCCGAAGTAAGCTAACGCGCAAATGGTATCATAAAGCCCGCCATTTGAAATAAATAAATAGATATCTCTAAACGTAGAACATATGAGAAGGAGAGAGAGAGTTAGTGGTCGAGAGTCATCGGTGCGATTAATGAAGGGGCCCGCGTTCTACAGTATATAACATGGTATCTTCTCTTTGCGGTTTAGGCACTAATGACACAGCTTACAATGCAACCACCACTGCAGCTGAGGCAGCATCAAGCGGATATGCCAGTCTCAACTCGAAGCTGGGTTGGAGCCAGGAGCAGGCTTGTCTCGCCGACTCCTTAGTCTCTTTCCTCTCTACAGTCGCCCAACATCACTGCCATCGCGCTCATTCGGTGTCTTCTGCCAGCACTGTAAATAAAAATGACGGTGGTTCAGAGGATGCTGTGGCTACCGAAAATGAAGATAGTGCCGTGTCGAGTAGCAGTACTCCCACTTCACCTAACAGTGCAGGTTGCAGTAGTGCATCTAAATTGTTGCCCGGCGATGCACCGCCTTGTGAATGGCACCAACTTGTAATTGCTTGTCTTCTTACTTTTATTCAACATGAGCATATCAATGAGGAATTGGATTCTCCAGAGGTATGGACAGTTTTGTTTAACCATCTCTTATGAAATTTATAAAACCATTTCTCTTTCTTATTCCGTTAGCGCACTTTAAGGTGTTGCCTTGCGGCCTCATATCTCTCGGCCCGAATTGTTGCGGCTTCTCCACTTGCTGTGTTTCGATGCCGTGCCGTTGAGTTTGGTGTATTTGAAGCCCTCACAAGAGCTTGGACAGATGCATCAAATACTGGTGGATCTCCTCTTTCTACAGCTCCCCTTTGTGGAGCTACGACTCGAGCTGTCTGTCTGTCCGCTATTGAAATGCTTGTCAATCACTCTGATGCTGATGTTAGTTCGTGTTGTGTGAAAACGCTAATGCCTCAAGTATTTCACTGGTTATATGAGCTCTCTGTAGCTTCTGCACCAGCTTCAGGAGCTCTTTTACCAACTTCTTCGATGAATGATGTATTTGGCGAAACACCACCACAACCGTCTCATCAGCAGTATCAGCATTTCTTCGTTGCTCGATTGGAAGAAGCTGTCGCTTCTGCGATAGCACTTTCACTGAATGTAGTGGACATCGCAGAGGCCTCAGGACGTCAGAACCTCCTCGCTATTCTTCTACCTCTCTTCTGTGACCTTCTCCATGACCCCTCTTCCGACCCATTGCCCAATCGGGCAAAAGATGGTGATGGAATGACTGCTGTTCGTCAAATGCTGCATCGCCTAGCACTAAAGAATCTCCTTACACTTGGCTCTCGCTATCCCGCAGAATTTAGACACGTTGTCTCGAAGGTCAGTAGTCTGAAACCGAGAATTGAGGCTGCTGTGAAGGCTGCAGGATCCGCGAAGAATACAACAGCTGCTTCCTCTTCTCAGAATCAACAAAACCAACAACGGAAACAACCTACGGCACCCATAAAGCTAAAGATTGGCTTCTCAAACTTCACTTCCTAATTTGTCAACATCTTAGAGTGCGACTTCCCCAATCATTGGTGTTGTTATTCCCTTTCAGTTCGCTTTCACCTTTCCTTACCCTCACGAAGGTAAATTCATTGTTTGCATCTCTTTTCTTTGTTTGCGCGCGCGCCTCTCCTTCCTCCAATGTGTCCCCCTCTTTCTTTCCTTCACTTGCGCAAATTGACGACTAGAAATGACCTGATTTCAATCATTATAAGCAAATTTGTGTTGATAATTACTTCGCCTTTTTGGTTTTTTGCCCAAAGATCATTGTATGGTAGCTTGATCTTCCAGTTGTGAGAACGCTGGTTTACACCCGTTTATTTGAACGTAAGACGGCCTAGGCAAATACCGATGCCATTAATTAATTCGTCGAGCTATCATATTCTATTATATCATCATATTCTTGAATTGATACATTTCCTGACTAATTTTTTATCAAATGGCAGGCTTTATTACAGTTATTATTAGCCCTTTAGCTGACTTCGGGTTTCACCGGGTGGTGGGGGGGGGGGGGGGGGGGGGGGGGGGNGGGGGGGGGGGGGGGTGGAGGGACATCAAAGTCACAAAAAGTCCAGTGGAGGAGGATAGAATAGTGATTCACAAATGTAGAAGAGACAGACACATAGGTAGTAAAAAGGTGAGGTGAGTACTGTGGAAGTAGTCGAATATGACATACAGTAGGGCCATGGTAGTTTGAAGTCAACTGTCGGTTGATGGTCTTTCGCCGTATGAGTATACGCTGCCCAAGTTGCGCCACGTGGAGATAAGTCTATCGCGCACCCCTTGACAAAATTAATTATTTGGAAAATATATATATCTCAAAGTGACTCTATGCATTGCCCCACCCCTCAACCTTTCATACCTTATCTATACACTTGTACTGTTGCTCTATTTCTTTACCCTAATAGCCAGTGCAGTTGAAATGACTCATATCTTGGTACTGGAGGCGTATTTAAGCTTCTGAGATTCAAGACACCATTAACTCCTCTCTTGTAAACTCCCTCTCCCCCCCCCCAGTTCTGTTATAATTTATATAAATAGACGGCTATCTCAACCCATGAGTCGTCTGTAGTAAGTCTGAATGCTAAGATAAGGGTGTGGAACATGAAAGAGGTTCATAAGAAAAGTCATATCTTTTTCTAGTCATCATTGTTGATGCGTTCAACAAAGGAAAGGGGTCAGCTATATTCCAGTCGTGTCTCCAAAGAGGTTTCTTGCCCATTTTAAGTTCGCAGAGTTAAAAAAAGGCATTTCAACTAAATCACCCCTCTCCAGGCTCGCTTTAGGCAGTCTCGTCTTATTAAATGCCTATTTTTTTAGAAAATAATGGCTGAAACTTATGGGAAAATGCATGTACTTAGAAACAGTCATCGAGATAAAAAGCACTCCCTGAAGCAGAGCCAATTTGGTGGGCAAAAGATCAAAGTACTCTGTTAACTTAAAATAATGTAGTCTAATTCAATTTTCGCCTTTCTCTCAAGCTAGCATGCACTAATTAATAACTCAGTAAATCTAAATCAGCCAATCCCTTTAATTTGATCGAATCGAGTGGGGGCTTTGCTCTGTGCTTGGACGAAATCGAAATACATTTCCAATGTGAGGCTGGGAAAGTGCGAATAAATGTTAATCTTCCTCAATTGAAACCTAGTACCTTCTTCAATTATCACCAACTTGAGCACGAAACATCAAGCGATTGAACCTGAGAGTTTTTAAGGATAAACCGATATCCCCTACAAAATGTTGGTACCTTTACAGAGCTCCCTCTATTGACTCCTCTCGTCAGCAATTATTAAGTTTGACCCAATGGCAACTCCTGTTTAAAGCGTATTTTTGAGTATCCATTTGATTCAGATAAACTGCCAAATCATTCGCGGTGATACTTAGCGTAAATAAGAAATAACGTTGAATTGCTTAATTAGTGAATGGCGAACCCTACTTGGGTATAATGAAGCAACCATTTAACCATTAAAAGCTAAGATCCCTATTGCCCTCAAGGCAGCAATTCAAACCCTACGGAAGCCTATCCTGGTAAAATGGAAATCTGGGCTTTGGAATGTTTTTTGAATTTGGGCTAAATTGGCTGAAAAAATGTAATTGGGCGTTTCGGGAGTAGTAATCACATTTACACGAGGTTATGTGAATACATTTCTTAGCATTTTGAATACTTTTTTGAATTTTCTATCTCAGCTGAGCCTTCACGTGCCCTAAGTGGTAGAGTTGGAATTCGAGTTGCGTTATTTTTGCATAATTTAACATGAGGTAATCGATTATTCATATATTCGGTTCCCTTTCTACACGAAAGTTAGTGTTTCTTTATTGGCGATTTTAGTACTGCAGAACAGGAATATAAGATTGATTCTACTGAAAAATTTTTTCTTAATTATGATAATCAGTACTCTCAGGATAGCTATGGATCTGGATCCGGACCTTTGAACCTTCAGAATCAGTCTTCTGAAGCCATTCAATCTCACCCTCCTATCACTGAAATTTTATCCGCAAATCTTACCGTACCGGAAGTCGCTGCTTATCAACAAGTTCGTACTGAAAACTCATTTAGTTCTGATAAGTATTCGACTGGTGAGTGTTTTAATATACTTGGAGATAGTGGATACGATGAACAGATGATGCCTTCATATACCGAACAATGCTATGATTATAGTCTTCAGTCTAACTCAGGATGTCAAAGTCTCAACACATCCACCTACCAAGTCGAGCAATCTGAAGATGAATTTCGTCCTTTCGTCCAAGATACAAGAAACGATATGTACAATTATGCCTCAGTTATGCAAAATAACAGTGATTATGGTGATTTCTACGGGAATTCTGACAATCAGGGTCTTTCAAATCACGACTTTTCTAGCTATGCTGGACATGAACCACGAAAAAGAAGGGTTTATGAAAGTGATCCAAACAGGCTGAGATCTTCTTCAAATTGTCAGTTGAATCCAACTGCTGTCGCAATCATGGATGCCTGGTACAGAAAACACCTAGATCGACCGTATCCAAATAAAGAAGAGAAGCTGAATATGGCTATTGCTGGATCTATCACAGAAACTCAGGTATTTACCACTCTTAACCGCATACCTCTTAACTTGCTTGGCTAAAATATCGATTATTTTTTAATCGCTATCTCAAATTAAAGTGTTTTTATTTGCTGCCAGATTACAGGAAAGGTCTTTCCCTAGTTCGTATATTACTTAGTTGTTTATATCTGTTTGTTTATCTTCCAGGTTGGCTCCTGGTTTGCTAATCGGCGTAATCGAAGTAACAACACACGACCCAAACAAAATATGAAACGTTTAAAGTCGGCTATTTCTTCACTTTGTATGGAATATCAAGCTAGATGCAATGGACTCATAAACGGTTCAGAATTACAAGCTAGAATACTTGCTCTAATTGAGCAGCATATGAAAGTATAACCACTTCCTGATCCCTCCCCTGTATATTTTTTTTGCTATTGCGCATAAGTCGCTTCAAGTCTTTCATTGAACAAAATATAAAGAGATACTTTAATATATCTTTCCTGCTTTGAGTATGCATCTCATTTATTCCTTATTGCCTTTTTAATATTTGCCGCTCAAATGCTATCACAGAATCTCGTAGTGCCATTTTGAACGCCTCACTCGCTATTGGTCATTCTGCAATTTTCTAATATTTTATTGATTCCGCTAAGACTTGGACTCCGTACCTCATTGATTTATTAATACGAAGCAGTAGGGAGTGAGGCGTTGAAATACCGTCTACATCTGAGCCTCGAATTTCACATTAATAAAGTGAATTTAACAAGTAAATACGACTTTATTATAACTTCTTAAAACCGTTAAAGGTCTTTAATTGCGAAGTGACCCATAATAACGTTCCTTAAAACCGCATTTTCTAAAGTGCAAATTTGAGAATTTTTGCATGCTATATTGAGCGCTTTTGTATTATTTATTTATATCAAATGGCAGGCATTGCAGTAGTTATCATTAGCCCTTTAGTTGACTTCAGGCTCCATAGAGGGAAGAAACACCAAGGTGAAAAAAATTCGAGAGAGGAGAGAACAGAAGATTGATTTAAAGGCGTAAAAAAGACAGACGCAAAGGTAGAAAAAGGTGAGTTGCGTGCTGCAGAAGAAGTCGACTATGAAATTCAGTGGGGTGGTGGTATTTCGAGGTCAGAAGTCAACTGCCGGTCTATAGACTTTTTTGTCGTATGAGTATACGTGGCCCAGTGTGCACTACTTGGAGGTAAGTCTATCGCACACCCCGCTTTTGGATTATAGAAATACAAATATCAGTATTTCTTCCCATGATGAATAGTTATAATAATTCCTACGCTCGCTTAGGAAGTGTTTTCAAACGCTAGTGTTGGGTAGAAAATGGCATCATGGAGCCTCTCTAGTGACGGGTTTGAATACTGTCACTCTCGAAATCAGCCAACCTTATCCAGTAAATTTGGCTTATCCCCTCACTTGGCTTTCGCTGACTGGAATCGAGCCAGTCACCTTTGACTTGGTGCGCGCACACAATGACTATTGTGAAATATTATATAGCCACAATTACTTCCTTTTGCTTCGAATATTTTGACGCCATTCGTCACATGTCAACACCCAGACCAGACCCCACTTACGTCTGCTTAGATGTGTGAAATTACCGGTTGAAATCTGGCAATGCCGTAGTCATTGGACTCAGTACCCCCATAGTTTCACCCAATGAGGAAGTAAGACCTGCAAATACTGAAGCCTTAGGCACATGTCTAGGTTAGGACAAAATACACATAAGTATCCACAAATTGGTACTGTCTCGTGTACTCTAGACTCCCTTTAAGGCACAGAGATTTGATTATGAGTGACTTCCTTCTGTCGTCAAATTAATCTCGTCTATTTGCCCAAATCATGGCATTTTTTTAAAAATAACACATTCGATGGAACTTTATACCTCTTTCCTATTGCGTTAACTTTACTTACATTGTTTTAAAGAATCATTCAGAAAGTAATCTCTGGAAAGCACTTTCTTAATTTTTTCGAGATTCCAAACAAGCGGAAGTGGCAAATGGAATAGCAGACGATTTTTGAGATCTAATCCATCGCGGAATCGGAAAGTACAGCTCTTTTATTGCTTTAGAAAATTAGTGAAAAATTTCACCTACCAATATTTACCTCAGAGGAGTGCACGTGGCGCACAATGAGCAACGGCAGTTGACTTCCGACTTCAAACTACCATCACCCTACTGTATGTCATATTCAACTACTTCCACAGTACTCACCTCACCTGTTTTCTACCTTTGCGTCTACCTCTTTTACACCTTTGAAACACTCTTCTGGTTTCCCCCCCCCCCTCGACTTTTTTTTCACTTTGATGTTCCTTCCCCTCTGTGAAGCCTGAAGTCAACTAAAGGGCTAATGATAACTAGCAAAATGCCTGCCATTTGATATAAATAAATAAATATATTCCTCCCCATTGTGAGGCCCAAAGTCAACTAAATGGCTAATGGTAACTACCATAAAGCCTCCGTATTTTGGCATCCATTTCTACCGCTACTTTGAGTTAATTGGGTTAGAAGCCTGCCAATTGTTATAAATGGATAAGTATTCACCTCATAGACGGTTAACCGATTTTCCATTCGATGACCAATGTTCTCCAGCTTAATGAGCAGACTGCGTTTTATCTAATACCGCGGAAGTGCAACGAAACTATATTTGCTTTACATTTCTTCCCAATTAAAATTTTTACAACAGTAAGCTGCAGAAATAATGATGATTTAAACGCTGATTACTAAAATTTCCATTGATCAGCAGCGTAGTAAATTCCGCTATGCTCTGATAGAGGAAGAACGGTTTTGCGTCTCCAGTTGGCACAGAAGTGGGTGTGATCACTATGCCTTTTATTGGCCTGCAACTACGAGGTTGCAGCCACTATGTAACCCAGGAGAAGAATGAGCGATATAGATCGCTATTAGGTACGATTGCCAATTCTTTGGATCGATTTGCTCATCAAAGTGAATAAAATGTCAACCAACATTTTGGAATAGTAAAATAAATATAGTGAATTGTAAATTGAATGGAATTTCGAAACTTTGCAAACCCATAGTCCAAGTCAACTGCCACAGATCTAGGAGACTATTTTGAAGTTGGTAGCAAACTGGAAATACGCAAAAAATGGTAGGTAAGGTGTTGATTTCCGAGTTGTTTTACCCTCATGAAAAGTCCCTTTGACGATATTGTCATTCATGTGTTGCTTGGGTAAGTGATGAATATCAAGATTACCTTGAATAGATATTTATTTATGTATTTCAAATGACGGTTGTTTTGATAGTTATCATTAGCCCTTTAATTGACTTCGGGCTTCTCAGAGGGGAGTAACATCAAAGTGAAAAAATGTCGAGGGGGGAGGGGAGAACAGTAGAGTAATTCACTGATGCCAAAGAGACTGGCTGAAGCAAAGGTAGAGAATAGGGTAAGGTAAGGTGAGTACTGTGAAAGTGGTGGAATATGACA